TGAATAAATTCATAGTACACTTTTATTGTTGTTATAATCATAACGATTACATTTTTTAAAGTTTGTTTTACTTCGATAGTGACATACTTTAAATTTACCACAAAGGAAACGTGTATTTTCTAATTCTTAAGTGATTAATTGACAACATTATTCATTGTCATTAATTATGAAATCAAAATATCAAAACTAATACAAAATGGTACTTATAAATTGCTTCACAAATACATACACTTCTATGTATACATTACTTCATGACTCGTCTATTGTTTTCAACAAGTTTTGTTTATCAAGTCAATTTTTTTTACGCGAATAACATTTTTTCCAGTTGAATAATGATCAGTTAATTCTTCAATCTATCTGTCTTATAGATAAACACAATGAGGTATTTCTTGGAGTTCTAGTGAGAAGCAGTGACCAATAGAGTTCAACCAGGTCTGTTGTAAGATAGGAACTCACTGATGACAATAGTGGTTGTGTCCCTCCATTTCGTGGTTTAGTTGAAGTTAGACATTAACACCGTTTGATGCTGGCTGGCTCAGTTGTCTATAGGTCAAGCGTTCGCACGCGAGACCGATGAGTCCTGGGTTCGAATCTCACGAGGTGGGATCGCGGATGCTCACTGCTGAGGATTCTCACACTGTGACGAAACTGCCGTTTAGTGCTTTCAGGTTTTCCATAATGGTCTAGCTTCAATTAACTCATGATTTCAACTATTAAAATTACTATAATATCCACAAAAACCCTTTCTGATATTAAACACAGAAAAATATTACGTTTATTGATTAAAAGAAACTAGAATATAGACTGAACTTTTATAGCTGGATAGATCGTAAACCCTAATTTTAATAAAGAGAAGTGATATTACCATGGAATTGAACATTTTCGAGATTATATATTTAGGTGAACACTTATAATGAATTAAAATATTTTCCCTTGGGTCGAATATTTTTGTTATTGATACTTTTATATAAATTAGTCATTTCCATGTTTGACTATCGACATTCAAATATCAACAGTTTGTGTTTGAAAATCTAACTAAATCAGGTATAGGCTTTTCTATTTACATTCAATAGGTGACAAGAGAAAGATAAAGTTACCCTGAGCTGGACGGTTTGGTCGTGGAGCTTTCCTCCTTATTTTGAATGACATCGTCAGCATACACTTCAAGTAGAAGTACAGTATCCGAATTTTTGCATATATGGCTGACAGCCTCTTTATTTTGATTGTATCTCTCATTGATTTGATTCTTGATCATAAATAATGACAGATTAAAAGTTAATAATAACGAATCAGTATCGAGGTCTACATGACAAGCTGTGAGTCATATGTTGAGAAATTCCAACACTTCACTTCTATCTGAATTTTGTGCTGATGATGTCGCTCAGAATAACGATGAAAACTCCACAACTAAACCATCCAGTTCAGGGAACAAAAATCCTTCAAAATTATGCACCTGAGCCACAAACCTTCACCATCTCAGAAAATTCCCCCTTTTCTATGTTTGTTGTGTATATGGTTAACAATGATACTAGTTATTCATCTAGTTAAAAGTCAGTGAAACAAAGTTTAAATAAACAACGGATGAAATACAATGAGTACCTTGTAATTATGTAACCAGTTATCTCTGGACTATTTTTAATAACATGTAAATAGGAGAAACAGAAAAAGTAGACAACTTGATTTGTAGGCCCAACGATCATTATTCAATACGTCTGTGTAAATATTTATTTGACTGACATTGACTTATGATGACAGGAAAAACTCAATGCTATTTTTAATAATCGAATTCACGAGTCGATCTAAGTTGGATCATCATTTAAAACCTGGAAGCACTAGACGACCATTTCGTACTAGTATGGGACTCTTCAGCAATGAGCATCCATGATTCTGTACGCAGGATGTTATTTGTTTCATAGGCTTTTGGTAATGAAACGTAGTATAACCAATCTTACACAATTACCCCTTTTTATTTTTCTAGGTAGTATTATTTGTAAACTAATTAAACCATGATTAACAGTCGGCTTAAAAATTAGAATTAAAAGACTTTAAAGTAACTCGTTCAAGACACCATCCAGGTTGTCAAATGTAACTTAGGGATCAACATTTTCAGTTTAATTTAGTTAACCATTCAGTACAATGATCTCTCAATTTAATCAGTAAATATTGTACTCACTATCTGAATGTCTCGACAAGTGCCAAGTTAACTGATATAACACAAAATCCGCCTCATAGTAAATTACTAACAGATATAAGATTAATATTTAAAACTAACTGTATCATAAATGAGGTTATCTGTTATCTGTTGATAATGTTGTATGACAATTGTTCGATATGGCTGAGAATAATGGAAAGTTGAATTTCACTAAAGTACTTCACTCTCTGCAAAACGTCAAGGTGCAACATTTAACCAGAAGAAGGTAACAGTAAATCAGATTTCGTGAAAAATATTAGTTTCAGTCTAAAGAAATTTTACGATCCATGTAGGTAGAGTATGATGTTTTTTTAATGTGTTGTATTCTCTGAGCTGGATGGTTTAGTTATGAGCCTTTTTCTACTTTTTCCAACATAACATCAACAGCACATACTTAACAAATATTTACTAGATTTTCTCTACAACTGAATAATACAATGTTTTCTCAACCTGTCGTTTAGTTGTTTGTTGTTTATCAATGTGTGATCATTCTTTGTATGCTTGGTTTCACTGTTTGTTTGTTTTTACCAACAGATGATCTTTGACATCCCAACTGTTAATCTGTTATATACAGTATAACTGGTATTTGTTGGCAATATTGTCTAAGAAGACAATGAAAGCTTCATGACTAAAATATCCAACTCAGAGAACATAACACTTATAAAATACAAAATTTGATCTATACATATTCTCTATCATTTGTATGATAGTCTGTTTAACCTGTCATTTTATTAGTTCTATTACTACCTTTAAGATATTGATTGACTCTTGATTTCTTTCCATAAATATAACAATTTACTTATCTTGGTGTAAACTATTCACTTCAAACTCTAAACATAAAAAAACGATTTGTCTTCTTTTTCTGCATTTAATGACATAATATTAAAGTACACTTTATATATACATATGTAGAGAGAGAGAGGGGGGAGAGAGAGGGGGTAAGGGAGAGAGTGAGGGGGATAGGGGGACAGAGAGGGGAGAAGATCATCTGTCAATAATTTACTTGTTTATATATTAGAAATTTTATTTAAAAGTTTTAATTAAACAAATAATTTAGCCTTAAAAACAATTTTTCATAGTTCATACAAAATTATTATGAATAAACACAGTGAATGACAAAAAAAAGTTATATCACTAATATATTCTGTCTCTAAATAAACAATAAATATACAGAGATTATTATAGATGATATAATGGTGATAGTAAACCCTAAGTTTTTTGCATCATTCATTTATTGGTTAAATAGAGAATTGTTACTTCTTGATGAGTTCAACAATTAATTTATCCGATTAATTAACATGAATGAATAAAAACAAAGAGAATTTAATGGAAACCTACTTTACTATTGATCCATACATAAAAGAATTAAATTAAAAACATATGCTCACTAGTGATTGGCTTCAAGAGGTATCTCCTGGAGTTTTAGTGAGTAGCAGTGACCAATAGAGTTCAACCAGGTCTGTTGTGAGATTGGAACTCACTAATGACAATAGTGGGTGTGTCGCTCGATTTAATGGATTAGTTGAAGTTAGACATTAACACCGTTGGATGCCGGCTCAGTGGTTTAGTGGTTAGGCGTTAGGTCCTGGGTTCGAATCCCTCGAGACGGAATCGTGGATACGCACTGCTGAGGAGTCCCACACTGTGACGAAACAGGTGTTCAGTGCTTTCAGGTTTTCCATGGTAATCTAGCTTTAAGTAAATCATAGTCTCAACTATTGAAATTACTGCAATCTCCATAAAACCCTTTGTGATATTAAATTTTCTGCGAAGTAAAAGATTTATCAAAGTCGATTTAAGTTAAGAATAGAATAAAACTGAAATGTAACATATATAAAATCAAATTTATCAACTTTGAACAATATTATTTTTGAAATTATTTCAAAATATTATATATCAAAACTATTGTAGTATTTGCTGACAGATATAAGTAGTATGTTGCACCAAAAGGAAGGGAAATGTCTGAGAAGACTGAAATGAAGAGAAAAGAGAAGAAAACTGAGAGCGATCAAGATGAAAACAGGAATGAAGGAACAATCTAGTTCGTAAGAGACAACTGATGAAAGATATGTAACTGATGTATTCATTATTTCACGACGACACTGTGATTTTGCATTAAACAATAAATTGGTTATCCCTACCATGTTTTCGTTCACTACATTATAAACATTTGTCAACAATGAAGCTATTTAATGTGGAATATCTAATATCATACTAAATATCGTGTATCCTACAATTACTATGTCAATCCCCTAAAATTTGCGAATCATCATTAACATTGTTAGGTAAATACTTTTCTGCTTGTTTACTACAGATAGGAGGAGACTATAACTTTGCTTAATGGAATAAATATAATATTAATTTCTAAGAGATTCATCACAAAAACAATTGTTTTAGGATAGTAGAACATGCATAATTCTAGTCAAGCATTCATCTCATATAAGATGTTGATTCAACTTAGAGATATCAATAACTACGATTTACTCCAAAGGTTTAATACTTCGATCAAACAGTCCAAGAGTTCTTCAAATAAACTTTTAACGTATCATAAATAATTATTCCCCTCTGATAAATTTTGGAAAGAAAAACAATAAGAAGTGTTCCCCTTACCTTCTGATTTATCTAGTTGGCCTTTTATTTTTTCATATATACCATATTAACAAGTATATGTATGATCAGATCATTCAAAATGCATTGGGCAAGTAAATGACGTAATTCTGATAATCTTTGTCTTCTCATCGCATTATTCAAAAAGATCATGAATACTTGACTATAAACATCAATAAACGTTAACATTAATTTCTTTTAGGTAGCCGTGAAGCTGGTTTTGCTCATGCAATATCTGCAGCTGGTGTTGTACATGCATTAGCAAGAAGTTGTAAAGAAGCTCGATTATATTCATGTGGATGTAGTAAAGCTGATAGACCAGATCAATTACATCGTGATTGGATATGGGGTGGTTGTGGTGATAATATTGCTTATGCGTATAGATTTGCCAAAGCATTTATTGATGTTAGAGAAAAAGAGAAAAGTTATCCAAGACATTCAAATGAATTAGCACGTATGTTAATGAATTTACATAATAATAGAGCAGGTCGTTTGGTAAGTTCTAGTTTGATTAAATGACTTTAACATTGATTACATATATACATATATACTGTATTCTAGATATTTTACGTATACTATCCATTTGACTAAATACTATTTGAAGTTTCTCAGTAATTAAGGATCACAGCCTTAGATAAGCATTCATCATCACTGGATAAATCAAATTCATGCGCGTGTATACAATCAATCGTGTGGATGTGAAAACAATCTCAACACGAAGGGATTAGTTTCAAACTAAACGGGTTACTCTTCAGTGTCTATACAACACATTATGGTGTTGACAGTTAATTAGATTATCTTTATACTTCATACTTATTTGGAATATCTTAATATTTCTGTATCAAATTAATCACAACTTATCTTGTTGGCTGAAAGATTTATGAATTCTTCGTTTAAATCCCAAGGCGCTGATTAGAGAAATACTTATATGGAAAATGCATAGACATGTTTACACAGATATTCAAGTGATTGGTACTATAAAGTCTACTTTGGTCATTGTGTTACTTTGAAACTGTCAAATATTCCAATGTATCATTTTAGTATGAATATTTTAAATCATCGTAGCATAGTTTAATATAAAAGGGAATGTTGTGCATTATTCGGTTAAATTTAATGAATCAGATTTTAAATTGTCTCTAAGACAATTACAAAATTTCTTTAACATGTTTTTCATGGAATTTTGAAGAATGACAAGATTTTCACAGTGAATAACTTACCTCATAATGAATAGATCATTGCGAAAAAAGCATTTTGGTGAGACTATGATATATGGACGACCTTTGAGCGACGCTAAAGTGACCTTGAGTGTGTCTACTTACTTACTAGGGCTAAATGAGGGTTATAAAGCAGTTTGAAGAATAAGGATTATGGTTTACAGTCGATGGTTAAGGTTAAGAACTAGATTTAGGGTTTTCATCACGAACTGACATTAGCTATAATGACATGACTCTATTTAGCAAAATGGGTGAATGAATTTCATTCCAAAATCTAAGACCTGTTATAGTAAATCTGATTGGTTTGTCCATAAATTATAGTCTCGTCAGCATATTTTCGCTGTCTGCTATTTACTGTTGATTATTTTCCGTTAAGTATGTTTTTAAATCCAGAAACTTTGGTCAATAAACTAATTTCTAATCTTCAGTTCAAACAGCTTAATAGTGAATTTTGATATAGACTGCTACGAATTGTCAAGTTTGGATTACTTTTCTTTAGATTTCAGATAATACCTGATGACAACTTTGAAACCATTGTACAGTTAACCTTATCGACTATTTTTACTCATGAAGAACACTTAGTTTCACCATATCAATTTTTGAATTTTTTAAGAGAAATTAACAGGTTCTTCAAAAACCTAAAAAGTACCAACTTATCTTGTTCGGTTATTACAGACTATTCTTATATGACATTCATTTTTTCTTCTAGGCTGTCTACAAATTAGCTTCCGTAGCGTGCAAATGTCATGGTGTTTCTGGATCATGCAGTTTAAGAACATGTTGGACACAATTGTCTCCATTCACTCGTATTGGTCGATATCTTCGTCAAGGTTATGACGAAGCTGTTAAGGTAAGCAAAATTCCTCATCTTAACAGTAATTCTGCATTTTTTACAAATCACTAATTGATATTGGGTTAAGTAAGATGTATTCAGAAAGTTTATTAATTTATGCTAAACCTAAAATATTGAATTTGTCTTATCGACACCAAGTGAGTATAATAAGTGGCAGTCAAGATGAAAGTGTTTATCGACTAGCCAACTGTATTTAGTAATATTAACGGAAACAAACCGTATAGGAATTAATTTCTGAAGTGGAGCTAGATTGTGCTACCGAATTAGAGCAAATCGAGAAACAACCCACGCTCTTATTCTCCATATTAGCTAATCAGGATATAAACCAGTTATACTCAGAATTTATTGTGACAAAATTGTATGCACAATAGAGATAACGTAATGGTCATTTTTTACTATTTAACTGAGGTTGACTAAGTATATAAACTTATTTATATGTCCCCACATTATCTTCGTTTACGACTCCGTGATATAGTACTTCATTATTTGAGAACCTCTATATTTCATTCTTTTTGCCGATTAACTTATACAAGCAACATTGTTATAAATGATGAGTACAACCACTAGTTTCTCAAGTGAATTCCATTCTAGAACACAGTTGTAACATTTTCGAGGAACGAAGCTAATATTTCTTGGTTCTTTTGATATGTTGAAGCCAGTAGACTTGAACTACTTTGTATATACTGGAGAATGTTTTTTTCCCAACTATTGTATTGTCAATCTAGAAAATAAATCGCTATAGTAACAGACCATTAATCACGTATAATGTTTCGAATTTTAATGCTAAGGAATGAAATTTAAATCGTTGGGGAAACGATTTCAGAGGAATTTGGAAAGACTACATTTTTATTTGCCAGTCTGTCATATCCGAGATCTAATTATTTACCAACCAAATATTGAATATAAAATACCTTATCAATACAAACTTGAAGTATTTGTATCTTTTTTATGTGTATGATAGATAAAAATGACTTTGATTAATATTACTTAGTGATCGAAGTTGGATACCAGTTAAAAACCTGACCGTTTCATCCTGATATGATACCCGCCAACAGTGCACCTCCACGACTCTGCAACTGGGGATGGAGCTAAAGACCTTCAGTCACATACTCTACCCCTTGACATCTAGGTCACTGGGTTGAAAGTTTGACAGTGTACAAGTCTAATTTCATTCAATCAGCGATATTGTGTGACCATTTTTTTACTGTTTTCGGTAGATACCTTCTTCATATCCGAAACTTTTGAACTCTACTAGTCACAACTACTCACTAGAACTCTGGACATTTCCGTTCTAAGCTGGTTACTAGTGGGGATATGAATTTTCTCATATGAACTCCATGTATGAATAACTGAGTAAATGGACTCTACATATGAACGCACCAAAATATTTGTCAGTTTATTTGTAATTGTACTAGTATAGATAAAACGAAGATTAAAATTTCACTGTAATTTCTGAAAAGAAAGTAATTCAATATTGGAGTGCGATATTTTTCACAATGGTTATCTGATCAAAAAGTCGACATTAAACTTATATGTTATAAGCAAACAATTAGGCATTACCTAGTGATATCTGTGAGCTACATCCAAATGACCTTGTCAATAAATGATATTCGTTTAATGTACATTGACACTAATTACCATGATCCCGAATCGATATCATTTGTCAGGCACTATAACGTTTTACTTATTTTTATCTTCAGTAATATTTTATTGATCTATAAAACTCAGTCAGCACTGAAGGACTATACAAACAAGATATAGGTCATTATTAAGTAACCAATTACTTAAAAATATATCAATCCTACTAGATATCCATCGAAGCCAGAGTAGCTCAGTGGTTACATAGAAGACCGTAAAGTTGAGTGACACGAGAGCTGATCCACGAGGAATTATTATCTCCCTTAAGGGTGAGGATACACCTTTCTCAATCCAGGGTTACCTACTGATCACCTCTGATCACCCAACATCTTCATTGTCGGTTGGTTAATAAATATTGTAATTTCCTTATCAAGTTGAACAGTTTTAGTGATAATTTAATAGTATCTGAAGACATCCTCGATAACATATGGGATGCCACGAAACTTGACTAATCCTAATTTACCTATAAACTAATATTGAATAAAGTTGCTTTAGAAATCTTCAAAGTATAGAACATTGACTCTTTGTTTTGTTTCATTTGTAATAAATAATTTACCCAGAATGAATAACAATTTCTTATTCATAGATTTACACATATTTCTGTCATAATATATTAAGCAATATAATAAGTAATACAAACGAATCATTTCTCTACTGTTTTATTCCATTTTCCTATTACCCTAAAAAACAACCGCAAACATACAAAAATGTCATATTTTATAGTCTTAGTGAATGAACAATGTCTACATGACGCCATGTTTTTATCCTACTAGGTGATAAATATTAGTATTGTTTTGTTTTAAATATTTTTATTCACTATGAAGCATGTTTTACTAGATTTGGTTACTTCATTACAACAAATAATAAATAACATATGTTGTATTCTAGAATATTCCATTTTGTAACTCGAATGATATTTCAGTTTCGTTTTGTTTTCACGTTTTATTTCTTCTTTTTTTTTGTTTTTAATTAATTCATAATTTTTTTTTAATCGTATGTTGTAATAAGTGAATTATCTGAAGGGGTTTTGTGAAGATTTTAGAAAGTTCACTGATTGAAATCATGAGTTGATTGAAACTAGACTATCATGGAAAACCTGAAAGTACTGGATGGCCGTTTCATCCTAGTATGGGACTCCTCAACAGTACGTATCCACAATTATGCCCTGCTGGATTTGAACCCAGAACTCATCGGTCTCGCGCACGAATAATGAATTAGTTTAAATATACAATATATACATATCTGTAGATTAATGAGTAGTTGATGGGCAAAGACAAACACTTTTAATTAGTAGAATATGTGATAAGCAACAGTACAAATACAAATGTTGATTTCCATGAGTGGTATAAACGAAACGATAAAATGTTTTTCATTAACATATTGACAATCATTTTTTATTGGTGAAAATAAAATTTGCTGAAATATTTATCAGTGAAGATGATGATGGCTAGTAGTGGAATCTAGGAAGCATGACTCGTCAGATGGATGCATCTGTATCCTGCAGTTGATATTTGCTGCAGGATTTGAACGTAGTACTGTCCACTTCTAACGCCAACGCGTTATCCATTTAGCTACTGGGTCTAGATAGCCATTAGCGTATACAGTAGAGTGATGTTTAATTTATTGTTTATAACACTTGTAACTCAAAGTGATATCTAGGCAATCCGCATAGGATGTACATTTGCCAATAAGAGACTGATCAATTGTGGTCCTAAACATCAATGGGAATATTCAAACAACCAATACAAAAATGAAATATTTATGATTGTTGGGGAAACCATTTGATTAATGAGAATAGTACAACTATTAGTGTATTTCAACTAATTATCATTTTCCTTGGTCATGGTGTATTTTGTTAAATCTAGTTCTCCAGTTGTAAGTTTAGATTTGAATTTAGATATTTGAACATCAGGAATATAAATATTACACTAAATAGAATATAGACCGGTACACAAATATCAACTTAAATCACCATTCAATATACTTAACGAAATATTTCTATGAAATGATTTTTAATTACTTTACTTCTGGTTACTTCTGCGCAAATTTACCAGTGACTTTGCTTTCTATAACTACTTATTCTGTGATCAACAGCTCCGAATCATCATTGTCAGTTAAATCATCAGTCTTATCTATACAATCTTGAGGTTTGTTAGTAAGGAGTGTACTGTTCTCATTGAAAACAAAATAGTTGAACTCATGAGTCGATTAAAACTAGATCACCATTGAAAAACTGGAATCACTGGACAGTCGTTTCGTCCTAATATGGTACTCCTCAGCAGTACGGATCCATTATCTTACCTAGGACCTTCGGTTTCGTGCACACCTAGGTTCGAGTCCCGTAAGCGATATTATGGATGCGCACTGCTTAGTAGTCTTATACCAGGATAAAACGACCGTTCATTGTTTCCAGGTTTTCAATGATGATCTAGTTTTAATCGACTCATGAATTAAACTGTTCAAAGTACTACAATCTTCACAAACCCTCATTGCGAAAATAAAATAAAAAAGAGTATGAATTTAGCGGTATATTATATTTTATTGACCTCAAAATAGACTACAGTTTTATATACATATATCAATCAATATTTATGTGTAACACAATTATAACTAAGGTAAAAGAACTCATATTATTACATATTTTGTTCACACATTCATATCAGTGTTAAATCTGATTGTGATATATTTGATGACCAATGAACTAGTTATAAGATTATTTACTTGAAAAATGATGACTAATTAATCTAGAGAGAAATCGCAATATAAAAGAAAATAATATACAAAATCAACCACAACAACCACAACAACAAAGAACTGATTATGTGTATAGTTTTCAAGTTCATTAAAGTAATCTATTTGGTATTAATATAATTACAAGTATTTTGAAGATAATTTATTTAGATTTGATGAACTATTAGAATGAATTAAACAACCGTTTGTCCAGGCTCCAAGCTAATACATATCCAATCTGATACATAGGTATATTCTACTTAACCTAGGTGACATGTTGTTATATGTTGTCTACTAAGCCAAGAATCCATTGCATTTCGAATTCTCAATTTAAAAAGATCAAAATGAATATAAAACAATGATCTTAATGAAAATTATGGCGGGCTTTTTGTGGTATGAAGTTTCTAACTTTCTAACAATTGGTTATGACAAGTTGAACCAAAGTACACATGCGCTAGGTTCTACATTAAATATAATTGATTGATTGACTTTTATTTACTAAAGATAAATAATGACATGATTGATAAAATAATTAAAACTTCCATAAGTGGTAATAAAGTGTATATCATCGATTCTGAAGGCATTATGTTCTATTTTGTCTGAGTTCATTAACATTAGTTGAATGTTATAAACTAAGATTAAATTCGATAACAGTTTTGCGGTGATTTCAGTTGTTTTCTAAATGATATCAATTTATGATTATTTTACTTAAATAGACAAAAAATAGTACGTCAACATCATGTTTGTTTACAGCAAAACAGATAAGTAATTGTGAGATAATGAAGATATACAAACATGATTTAATATCAAATATGCAAATATATGTTATAGAGTAGGAGAGTGTAATTATTAATGAAATAAATGAGAATAGAAATAATTTAATGATAAACTCTTTAATGACTCTATCAAAAATAAGCATAATATCAACTATGGAAATAAAATGACAGAGAATAATAGGCCACTTAACAACTGAAATATTCATACTAGTATAGGGGTTGTGGAGATTACTAAGTTTTTGATTGAGATCATGAACCGATTGGTGTTAGACCATCACCTTTGAAAACCTAGAAGCACTGGATGACCGTTTCGTACTAGTATGGGACTCCTCAGCAGTGCGCATCCACGATCCCGCTTCCCGCGAGACTCGAACCCAGGGCCTTCGGTCTCGCGCGCGAACGTTTAACCTACTGGCCCACTGAGCCGGTATCCAATGGTGATAGTGTCTAACATCAACCAATCCACGAAATTGCGCGACCAACTTCCATTGTACTGAGGTAGATACCTGTCTCTACCCGACATGGTTTTACTCCACTGGTCACGGCTTCTCACTAGAACTCCGAGAATTCCGTCACGAAGCTAGTCACTAGTGAGCACATGTTGATTACTAGTATAGCGGTTGTGGAGATTATAGTAGAAAACAATACTAATTGATTTATTTATGACACAAAGATTCGAAAATATGACTTTACAGAAGTGTCATGTAATAACAACTAAACATTGTGAAAACAGCTAAAGAAGGTGAAAAAGAATAAATGAATGTAGAAGGTATGATTTACAAAGAATAAAACAGAGAAAGGAGAAAAAGTAACTTTGAATTGTCTCACTATTAAATAAAATAATGAGAAAACCATATATATATTAATAATGTAATGGGTTCTTAAAAACCATCCCCTACGCTTTCAAAAGAAACATTTCAATCATATTGATCCATTCATATCTGTACACAATATGAATACATTAAACATGCTGATGTTACATTATTTTTCGGATCGATGTACAAAAATAGTTGTACTTGTAATGGTACTGATCTTTTTACACGTTAAACAACAATAACGTTTAAAACCATACTAATCATAGAAATCACAATTATTCAGTATATTCTTTATTATTAAAGAATTTTAATGTACAGTTCATTTCATTTCATAATGAACAGTAAGAACGAACTTTTTCCTAACATTCTTTACTTTGTAAATGTAAATATCAACAACATGTTTCTTTTTCTTTCTTTTTTTCGTTTTTACTACTGTATATTTAAATAAAAATCTTTGAAAAACTTCTTTTTATTTTTTTCTGTTCCTAGTCTCTTCTATTCACATTATATCACACTAGTTCTCATTTATGCACACATTTCTTCTTCTTCGTCGTCGTCAAATTTCATGTGTTACTGTTTTAGTTTGCTTGCTTGATTGTTTATTTATCCTCCTCTTCATCAACTATTCTGTATAGAATATAGTTATTTTTTTCTCTTTCAAGTTACATACCTTGATGCTTTTTCTATACTTTGTCATACACCGTCGACAAAATCAAATAGACGATTTGTAGTATAAGTTAGAATAAGACAAAAACAACAAGACAACTACAAATCATATATATATGTATATATATTTGTTTCAATCTGCATTCGTATCACTGAGACCATGTTCAGCAGTAAACTATCTATTTTTTTACTTGCTTCTTAAAACAATCACTAAACTAATATGTCGAATGAAGACATTTAACATGGTCGTTCTTGTCATTATCTAATATAAAGATGATGATGATGAGGTGGAGGAGGAAGATGAAATGGAGGGAAGTAAGCGGTAAAGAGATATGGTGTACAAATAAGATTTGACATGATTAATAAATATAGGGAGAAAAACCAACTAGTTTTTTTATGTTCATATTTTTATCAAGCAACTGTTCAACATTATGGTGAAAATACATACATAAAGAATAACAAACCGAAAAGTATTCATTGTCTTATTTGTACTTGTAGTCGCCGTTTTCGCTATTATCATCATGTTCATCATTAGTAACAATAACATTATTAGAGCCAAAGTATCATCATCATTGGAATAATAATACCATGATTAGGGTTTCTTCTTTGTAACAATGTCTATGCTTATTACTCTTACTACCGCATTCTATTTGTCATGTATTCTATTCATTTTGAATCTTAGACAAAAGGAGTAAAATGGTAAATGATAAGTAATAACAACAATATACATGCAGACATAAATAATTTCATAGTTTGTAATTGACTATGTTTATGTATGTATTGGTGTTGTAGAAGAATGTGTAAGGCAATAGCTAGAATTTAGACAAATAAAAATAGAGAATATTATAAACAGACTATCATTTATGATCACATGTTTGTTATATTGTAAGCTGAATGATAATGAAAGTAGAAATACATTTAAACTAGTTGACTGAAGGATGTTTGTTATAAATTATGAGATCTGATTGTTTGAGAAACAACAATTTTACTCCCTCCCTCAACAACACTGAATGGTTTGCTTAATTCATGTGTATATAAGAAGCATGTAAGTTATCCGTCTTTTTTCACAATAACCATAAAGCTAATTAGTTTTATTACTCTAGTTTAAACTGACATTTATTCTTATAAGAAGTCCAATTAACAAGGCAATCACTTAAATTTCCCAATAGCTCTAATCCATTGTAACTTCAAATATCAAGCTTAAAATTATCAAGATTTCTTTACTATCATTAATGAGAATGGATTTGTAAACATACTACCTTGCAATCAAAAATTGTTTATTGATGTCAGTTATTGTAATGGGAATTATGGCAGCGACTAGTTACTTAGCATTATGAGTTTGAGATCAACATAAAATAAATTTTCAGTGTGTTGAAAAATCTGTGAATTTTATCAACAAAAAACAAGTTTGGAAGTAATTTCTTTGAAAATAAGTAAGAATCTTTAAATTTAAACTTTTTACTTGAACAGAATCATATATAAAAATCGACAGAAACTCCTGGAGAACATGATACGTGTGTTGTTCATTTTGACAAATCAACGACTACACTCCATATTCAGTAGATCTTGATCAATACCAAAGTATCATGATTGATAATATCTAATCAAATCTTAATTGCAGATCATTTCTTTTTATCTTGATGAGTGAGCCAAATTCGAACGTTTACGGTAAAAAAAAGTTGTAGAACGATAGTTACATTGAAATTGAAATACAAACGACAAAAAGCACATCAGAAATGATTCCTAATAGTTAAATAATAATGATGGCTTTATTCAATATTCTATTTTTAGTACAATATAGAATTTTCAGTACAAAGTAATTCAACAAATTTTTTGACCGAACCTTACGATAAATATTGAGTGATCGTCAGTTAGACTTTAGCAGTTCATGAATTGACATTTGAATAATGCGCATTCTTTTCAATTCATGTTGCCAACCACCGCGAAACCTCTCATTGTACTTTTTGTAACTTGTACAGTGCACAGTTGCAAACTTTTCATAAAAGCACCTGAACAGTTTATTCGATTAACGGACACAATGTGTTAAAACAAAAAAACATGTAACTGGTTGAAATATCTAGATGACAGGGACACGTAGCCCAGATATATATATATATATATGCATAAATTCATTTTAAAGTAAATAATTTTATCAAAAACGTTTTAGGTTAAATTCAACAGACGTGGAACAAAACTACGTCGAGCTAGTAGACAATTACGTCGTATCACACCAGATCATATCACATATTTAGACGAATCATCAAACTATTGTGAATATGATCCAAACACTCAGACTTCAGGTACAAGAGGTCGTGAATGTTTACCAAACAATACAGATCAATCAAGTTGTGCAACACTTTGCTGTAATCGTGGTTCACAACCACAATTACGTGAAGTACGTGAAAAATGTCATTGTCAATTCAATTGGTGTTGTCGTGTCGAATGTCAGACATGTGTGAAAACAGAAGAATATCATGTATGTAATTGAATGAATTTACAACTGAATACACAAATTATCATAGTTTCTTTTTATTCAAAGAATAGTCAATGCATTCTTATTTTAATTTATAAATTGTTTTCCTATGGATTTCTACCTCATCATTTAAACCATTTTTATTGTTGGTACAAACAAAAGTGTTCCGAAATCAAATATCATCCTAATTACAGGGAATATTGTATCGTAAATTCAATAATGGATCATAGAAATCAAACTTATTACAAATAAAACACATTAACTGGCAACAAAATTATATTATTATATAAACACAACTATAATTATTATTAGTAGTATATCATCATTCAATCATATTTTTAAATATGTCAACTTGTTTGTTTTTCTTTTGAAACTAACCAATTAAAGTTTATTGTATTTTAATGTCTATCTAAGTGAATTCAAGTAAAGCATGAAAATCATTTTAGCATTAATTCAATATTTACATCATCAGAGCAACAATATATATATAAAAAAAGAAGAAGAAGAAGAAAACAACTAAACATATATATGGGTTGACTAGTAACAAACTATTCATTCTCAATAATCATTACTTACTACTGAAAATTCTAATACAAAATATACACAACTTGTAGATATTTATAATGAATATAATTTATGACATGATATTTTTTAAATCAAAAATTATTATTTACATTTCTTTTCTCTTTGGTTATTCTCTTTTCTCTCTCTTTCTCTCTTCGCGTTTCTAATCTTCATTCATTCATTCATTTTCATTTTGTTTATATACAGCATTTTGCATATGTAATAAGTTACACACATGAATGAATATACAAAATGAAAAAAAAAACCAAACAAACAATTGATGTTTAACTTAAAAGAGAACATTGAAATATATTGAAAAACATTTTTTGAAAACATATATATATATTCTCATTCTTGATTATCATTGGCTAATTTAAATAGTGTGCCGTTCATATTGACCAATAAGGTTACTGTTTTTCAAATTATTATTAAATTTTATTATAAATATTAATTTATTTTAAAAAAAATTGTTTTTTCATAATTTGTTATAAATAAATAAATAAAATATTATTTAAAAAATATTGATTCTTATTTAATATATTTAAATTAAATTAAAATTGATCATATTTAATCAATAAATAATAAAACAAAATTCATATGAACGAAGAATATTCTTTTCAATGAATTTCTCATCAGATACTCTACAATTATCTCATATCCAAATTAATAATCCACAAAATCGGCCAATTTGAAGGCAGAGTACATCCTTTGGAAATTGTAATATGTGAATTGAGAATTGTTGTTTGTTATATAAAATCAATTTAGATCGTTAATGTTGGAGCTGACTAATATGAGCATATTCCGAAGAACTTGACGCTGCGAGGGACTAAATCTTTTAACAGTGCAATAGCTCGGCATCTACTTGACACCGGGCATACCGTCGATATTATGCGCGCGTTTAAAATTATCAATAGACAAAGAACTACTACCACTCTCCGCTTTGCTGAAGCCATTGTAATTAAGAAACTGAAACCGGACTTATGCATCCAAAAAGAGACTTTAATAAACTTATCACTACCCTGGTAATCCTTTTGTTTCTGTTTGTTTTGTGTTTTGGTTATTTTATTCATTTACTTATTCTAAGATAATTTATACTCCCCCCCCTATTACCTAATTCTTAAAATAAATTTTATTCACACATTTCCATCACCTGATCCTCTTAAATCATCTTAACTTTCCAAACCCTATTTAATTATTATTACGTAATTTACTTTATCATTATTTAATTCCATTAATCTCTACAATTATCACACAATTTATGAACTTCACTAAATTATTACACCACCCACCCTGGATTAACCCCCCTCTTTTGACCTCTGACCTGTTTCTAGCATATATATATATAGTTATTATTGTAATCGCGTTATTTACACTTATTTATGTCAATTGTTTCACACTATCTCCATGTAAAAATTCTATCACAATTTTGGTTTGTAAGCAGCTGACGAGAAACCTCGAAATAATATGAATTCATACTATTCTGCATCAATGTTTGTTCTTGCTCTATTTAAATTCATAAAGGGAACCAATTGCATGAAATAATATGAACTTGTTAACTTGAATCAGTTTATAAGTGAAATGAAATTGTTTGATAAATAATCAGAAAGATGAGTTCAGAGGAGAGTTCTCCTCTTTTAAGGAGAATTCATTTTCAAAGCTGTACAATCGTAAATATGCATATACTTATTTTACAGGATGATAATAATACTGATAATAAACTTATGTTAGACATGGTGACAGTGAGGTTAAATAAACAAAGGTATTAAGAAAAATTTTGAAAACAAGGAAAGTTTAATAATCGTTTGATTGTTAATAGCTTAAGTATTCATTAAAAGACAGGTAAGAAAATTATCATTGGGAAAGGATGGCTCAGCATGATAAGACAAAATGTTGAAATATTAAAGAAATGTAATCGGAATAATCGTGGAAATAAATACAAACCAGTTGGGGTTAGAAGATGGAAGGTGAAACAGATGGCTGTAAGGGAAGAAGAGTATGGGGAAAGAGAAAAAAAGAAAAGAAAAAATTATAAAACATTAAGGTCATGGTAGAAGAAGAGGTTGTGCCAGTCTCTTTTGCACACACAATTCTGGTTTTTCTAGATGTTTGGCTAATACTTCGGCAATGCAAAGAAGATGTAGTCTAATTGTCTTTGGAAGACTTCTACTTACCTTGTAGATGACTTTGAACGCAGAGTCTATCTTGATTGAGTGATCTGTGTTCATAAAGTGTTCGATTATTGAGTCGTTTCCTCCTCTTTTTAGCCACTCCGGACAATGTTCTTGAGTTCTTTCGGATGAAGTACGCATCGAACGACCTATTACATCGGGCCCAACTAGTTAATAATCGATTTCATAGTATAGTGACGTAATTTGATTAATGTTGATTTTTATGTCCCAAATTTATCCACACGTCTTACGATTGTCATTATTATTATCATTATTATTACATTTACTAACCTTTTAAGAAATTTATTCAGCATCCAACCTTATCTACTGTATCTGACTTAATTCATATTATTCTATATATTACGTAATTTCTGATTTGTAATTGCATTATTATCTCTCTTAATCCATATCGACCAAATTTATTCTGATCATTTACCTCACAATATAATTTCACTTATAAACTGATTCAGGTTAACTTCATATTAGTCAGCCCCAACATTAACGATTTGATTTGATTTAATATCACAAACACCAATTCTTGATTCACATATTACAATTTCCAAAGGATGTACTCTGCCTTCAAATTGGCCAATTTTATGGATTACTAATTTAGACATGAGATAATTGTAGAGTATCTGATGAGAAATTCATTGAAAAGAATATTCTTCATTCATATAATTGTGTTCTGGATAATAATGGGAATTTTTCAGCAATAAATAATAAGTCTATTTTTTGCTAGTCTTTAAACAAATAAAATAAAACCTTTGAAAATTTCAAATAAAATGAAGTTACAACAGAATAATGAGCAGATGAAGTTGATCTGCAAAATGTAATGTATTCATGCTATATATTTCGAATAATATAATCAAAGATTATAGAATATGTGCCTAGATGGCTTCAAACCAGTTTATGTCAAATGTTCCGATCAATGTGGGAAGTATAAAACTATCTTCATCAATAGCAAAACACAAAAATTAAACGAGTCACAGAAGAAACATCAATACAGCTTTTAAAACGTTGCATAGGAATTGTCAAGAATGAGTTTTTAGATTTATTGAAGCCTTGGCTATTCGTAAATTTAAACCTTCCCCCCCCATGTGTACAAAAACAGGTTATCGTAACCTTGAATTTACCCTGGTAATCCCTAAGTCATTTTATAATCTACGATAATGTGACAATTTCTTATTCTTTCTATACAATCTCAATTTTCTCTCTCCTTTATTACTTTGTTTACTTGAATCTTCATTTAATTGACTATTATTAATTTTCATATAAAATGCCTTGACAAGTATATGTGTGAGCAAGTTGTTCGAAATATATAGCGCAAATACATCCCATTTTTTTCAGATCAACACCGTCTTCTCATTGCTCTATCGAAATTTAAAAAAAGGACTAATTACTTTAAACATTAAGTAACTCATTGGTAGCACAATATAGTGTATAAACTTTATATTCAGTTGGCAATGTCGTTAAGATTAACATTTCTTTACTAAGTAACAATAGATCACGATGCTAAAGTAATTATCTATGATGGTTAATTCTCAACTTAAGGTAAATACATAAAACTTTGTTACGATGTTCTAAATTTGATATGCTGGGTTAAGAATTAAGCCTAATAGTTAGATCGTAATTTTATTGGATTATGAATGCCCAATAAATTCTGTGTCCTACCACTACTTTTGTTTACTAAGTGACGGTTAAATATTTTTACTTTCATTTTCAACATTTTTAATATAAGTGTATTATTTTACCGGGGAAAAAATCACATTTCGCTTACCAGTTGTTCGACCTTTCGATTTCTCTTCATTAAGAGGATTATGTTCCTGATTTTGTTTTTGATAAGTAATTATCATCCAGTCACATTAATTTCATCAATTCATGCAATCGACTAAACATTTGGGCACATGCCATATTTCGTTGCTGTAATGGGTTCATGAGTATTTTCAGTATAAATGAACGAAGATTTTATCCCAAAGTTAGTGTCAATAAAAGAAACGTTGGACTCACATATATCGTCTTAATTTGGGAATCCACGAGAAGTACACACTGATAATTTTACAAAAAGATCTATGTATGTAACGCTAAATTACCTTTCCATGTATGGTACTAGTTAACTGATAAATTAGTGTTGAGTGATCAACCTTTTTGATTGAAAAAAAACACAATAGAAACGTTTATAGTTACCGACTGGCAATCAAAGTACACATTGACACAGATTTTATCTATCAAGGTGTCAATCAGTTAAACTATCAGAGGTCACACGAAATCGGTCGACAACAGAAC